CAGTAAATAAAATCGCTTGTTCAAAATCGCCCGATTTCGTCTTCCGATTTCGATAGTAAGAAAAAATTTCGGCGTCAGAACAGATTTTGGCTCCCTTTCGAGTAGTATTTTTGGCGAGTGCAGTGACAGACTGTCAATGCCGCTTTCGAACAGAGATTGCTGTTGTGGTTACAATATGGGGCGAGCCTGGGGTGACATGTGTGCGCCTTGCCCGCCTAGAGGATCGAGTAAGTCAAAGGAATCAGTAAAGAAAATCGCTAGTTCAAAATCTTAGAAGTTGAAAAAGGTCAGAATAATTCTAAGCGGTCAAAACGTAAAATTTGGCACCCTTTCGCATGGCGGCCATCTTATTATTTGCGTTAAAATAGATTAAAAGATGAAAGAATGAAATTATGGTCAATGTTAGACATGATCTTCTCATCTTTATTTCACAGAAAGTGACGGTAAATTTTACAGTGTAGCTTTTTTCGATCGTAATTCAATATCTTTTCATGTTTGTTTCACAAAAAGGGACCGTAAATTTTATAGGGTAGCTTTTTTTTGGATCGTATTTCAATATCTTTTCATATTTATTTCATAGAAAGTGACGGTAAATTTTACTAGGGTAACTTTTATGGATCCTAATTCAATTTCTACCTTCTTCCAGCGGAGTGGACTCACTTATGCGGCGGCGGCATCGTCCCGCCAGACTGGAGACGCAACGACACATACGGGGGGGATGAAGAGGGGGGCGGTATAGGGAACGGGGGGAACGGCAACGGGGGGAGGCAGCCGGCCCAGCCCATCGCGCAGATCAACGAGTGCATGTTAAGAAGTGGGATCTGTGGACTGGGGGAATGTGTGGATAAAGATATAGGGTGAGTTTATGAGAAGAAAGTGAGGGAATATAGATTATGTTTTTAAAGGGGAGTAAGAGGAAACGAGGGGGGTTATTGAGTGCTTTGGCCGATTTGGGGTGAGTTATAGACGGAGTTATAGTTATGGGCGGAGGTTTGTATTTCATTTATACAAGTTATTTGAGATATTTATAAATTTGAAACTATCAATCTCTCTAGTGGTTCAACAACTCAATTAGATACAAGGTACACTCTATACAATTTTGATGACATACTTTTCTGTTTTGCAGTTACTCATGCAAATGTTACGAGGGCGCGGAAGAGGCAGCTCCAGATGGTAACCCGACCTGTATAGACGTGGATGAATGCGCCCTAGGATACTGCAAGGGAGGCGACTGTCGCAACACGCCCGGCAGCTTTGATTGCAGGTACTGTTTTGCCGTATTACATGTAGATACGATATCAAGAAATTGCTCTGAAAGTGTAAATTTGTGAGATCTTCGCTAGGCACACTCCCTTTCAGCTACTCGACACCGATGTACCCTAGTGTTAGAGATTTTGCACTGCTACCAGAGAAGTGATGGAGCTCCGTAACCGTAACCGAAACTATTGGATATCCGATATATCCGTAAGCACCTTAGTTAGACTTGCCATGCAATGTCCTAACCAAACTGGGAAAAAACTCAAAAAGTGATAAGCTCTACGTGTTTGGACATAAGAAATATTTCTCATATTGACTTTTTGGTTTTCATGTTGTAATAATTGTGTTATGTTATGATATGATAATCATTTCATCCTGGCTACCGCCGTAACGGGAAGGATGGTCGATGATCGCATTGCTCGAAGTGATAATCAAAAGTAAAAAATGACGCAGAAATAATAGGCAAACTTATTTTTGAAGAATTCTGACGACCTTTTTAAAATTTGCTTACCTCTTATGTTTACTTACTCACATTATGTTTCTTAATAAGACGAAAGACATCATTCAAGTCCATTCACCTCATTAAGGGCTCACACCTTTCTTTTACATTTGTTCTCACATTTGCATCTGAAAGCCACAAAGCACACATATTGCAATCGGCTGGAGCGCCTTTCTAAAGAAATGGCTTCACGACCGCTCATGTGGAACCGAACATATTGTGCCTCGGAAATTAGGTCGGTTCTGTCTTTGTTAGCTTTTCACAGTTCGACATTTCATTGCAACTACTCAATGAGTCAAAATGTGCCATAATATGCCTTTTATTTTTATATTTTTTTCACCTCACCAGCTTGAAAAGAACTATTTGGCTGCGAAAATTTAGTCGGCAAAGGTCGTCTTTAACCATCGTTCGAAATTCAAATCACATTTCTCAACTTGTTGAGAAAAGTAGTGGAGAAGTAATTTGAATTTCGAACATCTAATTTAACACTAAAGATTTCAAAACTAGTCGTAATAAAGGCGGCGATTTCAGAACGAAAACTTCTAAATATTAACATTTTGTAAAATTTCTGAACGCATCTTTGAAAATTTGATTGGCGGGATTATTTATAGACTAAATTCTAGGCAGTATAGTCACACCCTTCGCCTAGCCATTAAGAACAAAACCTTAAAAACATAATTTTCTTACTGGTAGAGGTGAAAAGTTGTGTGTACCACACGAAAGCAAACACATTTACAACTCGTGCTTTTGAATCCCTCATTAAGCTCAGGATACTACTTTTGAATCACTCGCTACGCTCGTGATTCAATTTTAGTATCCTTCGCTACCTCGGGTTTCAAAATTAGCACTCGCAGCAAAAATCAACTTTGCTTTCTTGTAGAACAAATAACTATTGTTAATGTTTGTATGGTATTTTGTAGGTGCCCACCCGGATTCGACCCTGTGGAAAATGGACTGAAATGCAGTGATAAGAATGAGTGTGAAGTGACCAATGGAGAAATGTGTACTAATGGATTTTGTGAATTGGGACGCGATGGAAGGTAAGATTCTTCTTAGTATAGTTATTAAATGCCAAATTTTGATAACTTCCCTTGTTAGGAATATAAATTTTGGAAATCTTGCAAAATTTTCACCCGCTGGCTGCTACTTTCGGCATCAGTACTGCCGGTTGACGCCTCTATCATCGGGGCTACTAGCTAGCCTATGAATGAAGCAAGTGTATCTTGGCCACTAACGCGTGGTAACGCTCCATCTACCGGGGTAGCTTTTGCAACTATTTTCGAAGATAGATAGTCAGAACAGTAATTTATGTTCAAATATTAAACGAAAGTCGCATTTATTATATCAGGTAGCTTTTTATTTCGTTTATGTGAAGAAAAAGGTCTGTTTTGTTACATTATTTAAAAATTCGCCGTCTTGACTTGTTACCCGAATACCTATTTCTCGTAGATACGAATGCGTGTGCAACTCCGGCTACGAGAAGACTGAGACGGGCCAGGCGTGCCGCGACGTGGACGAGTGCCGCGACAACCCGCGCGTGTGCCGCCGCGGCCGCTGCCGCAACACGCCCGGCTCCTACGAGTGCCGGTGTGAACCAGGGTTCACTGCCACGCCCGGCGGGTACTGCAGCGACCTCGACGAGTGCCAGGACCCCGCGCTCTGCAAGGTGAGTCAGCCCGGCTTCACCCCCGGCGGGTACTGCAGCGACCTCGACGAGTGCCAGGACCCCGCGCTCTGCAAGGTGAGTCAGCCCGGCTTCACCCCCGGCGGGTACTGCAGCGACCTCGACGAGTGCCAGGACCCCGCGCTCTGCAAGGTGAGTCAGCCCGGCTTCACCCCCGGCGGGTACTGCAGCGACCTCGACGAGTGCCAGGACCCCGCGCTCTGCAAGGTGAGTCAGCCCGGCTTCACCCCCGGCGGGTACTGCAGCGACCTCGACGAGTGCCAGGACCCCGCGCTCTGCAAGGTGAGTCAGCCCGGCTTCACCCCCGGCGGGTACTGCAGCGACCTCGACGAGTGCCAGGACCCCGCGCTCTGCAAGGTGAGTCAGCCCGGCTTCACCCCCGGCGGGTACTGCAGCGACCTCGACGAGTGCCAGGACCCCGCGCTCTGCAAGGTGAGTCAGCCCGGCTTCACCCCCGGCGGGTACTGCAGCGACCTCGACGAGTGCCAGGACCCCGCGCTCTGCAAGGTGAGTCAGCCCGGCTTCACCCCCGGCGGGTACTGCAGCGACCTCGACGAGTGCCAGGACCCCGCGCTCTGCAAGGTGAGTCAGCCCGGCTTCACCCCCGGCGGGTACTGCAGCGACCTCGACGAGTGCCAGGACCCCGCGCTCTGCAAGGTGAGTCAATTTGAAACTAAATATAGTGGTTTCGATGTTATCTACTATGTAATATGTAATACATCGACAGCTTCACCGCTTCATTCAAGCTAATTTGTGATATAATAAAACAGCTAAAACGTCAAAAGCCTGCTACTTGTATTAGGCTGTTGAATCACTCTGACACCAGGGCTCATCGGGTCGTTGGACGTTTCGGTGTCCCACTCGAAAAGAAGCAGCCGCATTTAGGTTGTGCTATAAGAGAAATCGTTCTTTTTTTATAATGGGCCCTATACTTTTGGCCCCGGAGCCTCTAAAGCTACACCTAACTATTTGGTGAGGAGCGATGGCTCTCCCGTATGTGTGTGGGTGGTTGTTTATTTTAGACTAGCGATGCCATATGGCATCGGATTTCGATTTTAAAATATTTACACTTTTGAACCCCATTTCGTTAGCCAATTTAGTCCGTAAGATATCAAACCCTCGTATAATATTTTCAAAAACTTCGTCTATAATGGGCTAATTCAATGTTTTGCAGGGTGGCCGATGCGTGAACAGCGAGGGCTCATTCCAATGCGTGTGCGAGGCGGGCTACAGGCCCACGCCCGATCGCCGAGCGTGCGTGGATGTCGACGAGTGCGACGAACAGAAGGTTTGTACTAAGTTTCATAAATGAAAATAAGGAATAGAAAAAATGACATGCATGGAGATCGAACCCAAGCCGCATGGTGGGGCGTTTACCCATGCGAGCCGGGTTTGATCCCCGGTCGATGCATGACATTTTTTCTATTTCTTATTTTTATTTATGAGGATAATATGGCACTGGGAGTGCATTAAAAACCCAATAAATATATTTAGTTTACTAACTCAAATTCTTTCAGATAATTGTCATTAAATAATTTTTGAAAGCCTTGCAAAATTTTCCACCACGGGTAAGATTTGAACCTGCGATTTTCGGAATTTGTACTGCCGACACCACTACCAACTGGGCTACCGCGGTTCTATCCTAGCCTGCGAACTAAGCAAGTATATTTTGGCCACTAACGCGTGGGATAGTTTTACAAATAATTCTTAGATAGAGCCGTGGTAGTCAGATTGCAGGCATTAGAAGGTTCTAATCCTGCATGCGGTGTAATATTTTGCAAGTTTTCAAAAAGATGTATACCTAACACGGGAAGTGTTTTTAAAAACTTTAAGACGTTTTAACGGGTTTTTACTCTAGGTAGGGTTATTTAGAGTACCCAATATTCAGCGATGTTACAATCGCCATGATTATATATATCGTGAGTAAAAACCTGTTAAAATGTCTTATAGTTTAAGTGTTTTAAAAATTTGGTATCAAATTAGATAATTCCCAATTGTTTGCTACATAGGTGTGCCGCAACGGTCGGTGCGTGAACACGGCGGGCTCGTTCCGCTGCGAGTGTGCGGAAGGATTCACACTGAGCGCCAACGGGCGCACCTGCCTTGATGAAGTCCAGGACTTGTGCTACGAGAACTACGAGGACGGACACTGCTCCGGGGCCGGCCAGCAGCCCATCACCAGGAGCCAGTGCTGCTGCAGCGCTACCAGAGGTACCCGCTACAATAGTGACAAGTAAACCTGCCTCGACGAGGTGCAGGACTTGTGCTACGAGAACTACGAGGACGGACACTGCTCCGGGGCCGGCCAGCAGCCCATCACCAGGAGCCAGTGCTGCTGCAGCGCTACCAGAGGTACCCGGTACAATAGTGACAAGTAAACCTGCCTCGACGAGGTGCAGGACTTGTGCTACGAGAACTACGAGGACGGACACTGCTCCGGGGCCGGCCAGCAGCCCATCACCAGGAGCCAGTGCTGCTGCAGCGCTACCAGAGGTACCCGCTACAATAGTGACAAGTAAACCTGCCTCGACGAGGTGCAGGACTTGTGCTACGAGAACTACGAGGACGGACACTGCTCCGGGGCCGGCCAGCAGCCCATCACCAGGAGCCAGTGCTGCTGCAGCGCTACCAGAGGTACCCGCTACAATAGTGATAAGTAAACCTGCCTCGACGAGGTGCAGGACTTGTGCTACGAGAACTACGAGGACGGACACTGCTCCGGGGCCGGCCAGCAGCCCATCACCAGGAGCCAGTGCTGCTGCAGCGCTACCAGAGGTACCCGCTACAATAGTGATAAGTAAAAAGATAAAGGTGAAGTAAATCCATTAGAAAATGCCAACCGGTCGAATAATTAGTTTATTAAGTTTAGTCTTCTTTTGTATAACCCTCCACTTAATAAGTATGAAATTTTTTGAAAAGTAATAGTCCAGTAATTTCAAACAATCCTTATACAATCTCTTACGCTAACTCAGGAACAATTCTGTTTTCAAGGTTTTAATTTTCTTGTAATTGATATCGACAAGGCGGACAAAAACTATGTTATACGATTCAATAAATGTTGCTGTATTTAGAGAAGTAACAATTATTGCAGTACAGTAAAATATTAAATGTAAAATATTAATTTTAGATTGTTCACGAATGAGTGAGTGGGATAGACTGTACTAGTGTGTCTAGACGAGATTTACATCGTTTGAAACGTTTCCAGGTCTCCGCCTAGGCTGGGGCGTGTCGTGCAAAGCGTGCCCTGAAGTCGGATCCCGCGAGCACGCGATCCTGTGCCCCGAGGGCGCCGGCAAGGACAACAGCGGCACCGACATCAACGAGTGCACGCAGATCCCCGGCGCCTGCCCGCACGGCACCTGCGAGAACACCAACCCCGGGTACCGCTGCGTCTGCGACCCGGGCTACCACCCCGACCACGCCGGCGTCTGTCGCGACATCGACGAGTGCGACATGCACCAGTCCGTGAGTACTGCTCTGTACTGTACTGTACTGTACTGTACTGTACTGTACTGTACTGTGGGATACAACCCGGGTACCACCCCGACCACGCCGGCGTCTGTCGCGACATCGACGAGTGCGACATGCACCAGTCCGTGAGTACTGCTCTGTACTGTACTGTACTGTACTGTACTGTACTGTACTGTGGGATACAACCCGGGTACCACCCCGACCACGCCGGCGTCTGTCGCGACATCGACGAGTGCGACATGCACCAGTCCGTGAGTACTGCTCTGTACTGTACTGTACTGTACTGTACTGTACTGTACTGTACTGTACTGTGGGATACAACCCGGGTACCACCCCGACCACGCCGGCGTCTGTCGCGACATCGACGAGTGCGACATGCACCAGTCCGTGAGTACTGCTCTGTACTGTACTGTACTGTACTGTACTGTACTGTACTGTACTGTACTGTGGGATACAACCCGGGTACCACCCCGACCACGCCGGCGTCTGTCGCGACATCGACGAGTGCGACATGCACCAGTCCGTGAGTACTGCTCTGTACTGTACTGTACTGTACTGTACTGTACTGTACTGTACTGTGGGATACAACCCGGTACCACCCCGACCACGCCGGCGTCTGTCGCGACATCGACGAGTGCGACATGCACCAGTCCGTGAGTACTGCTCTGTACTGTACTGTACTGTACTGTACTGTACTGTACTGTGGGATACAACCCGGGTACCACCCCGACCACGCCGGCGTCTGTCGCGACATCGACGAGTGCGACATGCACCAGTCCGTGAGTACTGCTCTGTACTGTACTGTACTGTACTGTACTGTACTGTACTGTACTGTACTGTACTGTACTGTGGGATACAACCCGGGTACCACCCCGACCACGCCGGCGTCTGTCGCGACATCGACGTGTGCGACATGCACCAGTCCGTGAGTACTGCTCTGTACTGTACTGTACTGTACTGTACTGTACTGTACTGTGGGATACAACCCGGGTACCACCCCGACCACGCCGGCGTCTGTCGCGACATCGACGAGTGCGACATGCACCAGTCCGTGAGTACTGCTCTGTACTGTACTGTACTGTACTGTACTGTATTGTACTGTACTGTACTGTGGGATACAACCCGGGTACCACCCCGACCACGCCGGCGTCTGTCGCGACATCGACGAGTGCGACATGCACCAGTCCGTGAGTACTGCTCTGTACTGTACTGTACTGTACTGTACTGTACTGTACTGTGGAGACAACCCGGGTACCACCCCGACCACGCCGGCGTCTGTCGCGACATCGACGAGTGCGACATGCACCAGTCCGTGAGTACTGCTCTGTACTGTACTGTACTGTACTGTACTGTACTGTACTGTGGGATACAACCCGGGTACCACCCCGACCACGCCGGCGTCTGTCGCGACATCGACGAGTGCGACATGCACCAGTCCGTGAGTACTGCTCTGTACTGTACTGTACTGTACTGTACTGTACTGTACTGTACTGTGTGGGATACAACCCGGGTACCACCCCGACCACGCCGGCGTCTGTCGCGACATCGACGAGTGCGACATGCACCAGTCCGTGAGTACTGCTCTGTACTGTACTGTACTGTACTGTACTGTACTGTACTGTGGGATACAACCCGGGTACCACCCCGACCACGCCGGCGTCTGTCGCGACATCGACGAGTGCGACATGCACCAGTCCGTGAGTACTGCACAACGTACTGTCCGACTATGTCACCTCTCTCAATAAACCTGATCACAAAACATTTGGGTGGCTTTCCCGCCTTATTCAAATGACCTGATCACAAATATTTCGGCGACTTTCCCGCCTTATTCAAATGACCTGGTCACAAAGTATTTGGGTGGCTTTACCGCCTTATTCAAATGCTCGGATCACATAACATTTGGGTGGCTTTACCGCCTTATTCAAATGACCTGGTCACAAAGTATTTGGGTGGCTTTACCGCCTTATTCAAATGACCGGATCACATAACATTTGGGTGGCTTTACCGCCTTATTCAAATGACCAGATCACATAACATTTGGGTGGCTTTACCGCCTTATTCAAATGACCGGATCACATAACATTTGGGTGGCTTTACCGCCTTATTCAAATGACCGGATCACATAACATTTGGGTGGCTTTACCGCCTTATTCAAATGACCTGACCACAAAATATTTGGGTGGCTTTACCGCCTTATTCAAATGACCTGATCACAAAGTATTTGGGTGGCTTTACCGCCTTATTCAAATGACCTGACCACAAAGTATTTGGGTGGCTTTACCGCCTTATTCAAATGACCTGACCACAAAGTATTTGGGTGGCTTTACCGCCTTATTCAAATGACCTGACCACAAAATATTTGGTTGGCTTTGCCGCCTTATTCAAATGACCTGATCACAAAGTATTTGTGTGGCTTTGCCGCTTTATTCAAATGACCTGATCACAAGGCACTTGGGTGGCTTTGCCGCTTTATTCAAATGACCTGATCACAAGGCACTTGGGTGGCTTTGCCGCTTTATTCAAATGACCTGATCACATAGTATTTGAGCGGGTTTGTGGCCTTGTTAAATGACCTGATTACAAAGTAGAGGTATTTGGGCGGTTTTGCTGCCTAATTCAAATGACATGAGTTTGAAATACCTGAATATCGAGTTTCACATTTGCAACTTTGAAATGTTGAATGTACAGTCAAGTGCAGAGTTACCGGACCCCCCGGGCTACAAACATTTAAACAGAAAAATACGTTTTGAAATGAACCTTAGAGCAAAGCATTACGCCTATGCAATATACCTGAGCAATTCATGCTTCACCCTACCACACGACTAACTCGCAAGCACGATGTCGAGTCCTTTGCATTTTATCTTGAAGTTGCTTTAGTCAAATTTCATTAACAAGAAATAAAATAATAAATAGTCAACATACGAATACAACCCCCGCTGGGATTTGAACCTCCAATCTTTTAGATTGTAAGCATTGTAGTCGGGCATCTTAACCGCTTGGCTATTCAGCTGATGGTTAAAGGCGCGAAATTAGAAGTCACCTGTCGTGCAACTAGTGATGTCATTGTGACGTATGAGACCCGTGTAGACGTTTTGATGTTTTCTAGCAGATGAATAAAATAAGAAGGTAGTTTGAATACTAAATCGTAGAAATGTATTCAACTTT